GAATCTTAGCTTGAGCAATATGTTCAGCCACATCACATAGCAAATCACATGCCGTCGTATCTTCCAAACAGAGCTTGTAATATTCATATCGTGCTCCCCACATCCCAGAACTCAAGCCCCTGCGAGATGTTCGGAGAACATTGGCGAATATATGTCTGTCCAACACAAGGTCATGGTCAGGTTGGAAATCAGGCAGGTTCGCTGGTAATGGTTCGGAGGGTTCTGTTGGTCGGAGTTGTGGATGGCGGAGTTGTGCTAAAGTTTCTGGTGTGCCAGGGGCAAGTCCGGGAGAGGTAAGATTCCGAGCTGCATGGCTCAGTTCTCCTGTCCGGACTAACTCTGAGGCCTGCTCGAGACGGCGGTCCAATTCTTGGTCTGGAGTTCGCGTGCGTTGTCGTTCTCGTTGCCGTCGCGTCTCTTGATGCTGAAATTGGTGTCGGGCCGAGGCCATAAGGATATCCCATTCTCCCCGGTCGAACGCACCAATGCGATTTTTGAGCTCGCGTGATCCAGCTTCCCCCCCATGAGAGGTGTGGTGTAGAAGTAAACGTGGTAAGAGGATAAGGAGAGTCCAAACCCGAATGCAATCCCCTTCAATATGTCTTCCGTGCGCCCACCCCGTCGCAACACCAGCGACAATAGCTAAACATTATGTCAAAATACGGAGGTATTAGTCACGTATGCAACGCGGCAAAGCTTTCATCGTTGGGATGCGGACGTCGATTTCGACCCGAAGGTCAATGGGTAAGAGATGCCTCCAACCATTCGGCAGCCTGTGCACTCCTGGTGGGAGATGCGTGAGAATATCATCACTCTGGTGGGTTGCTGTTCTCGTGGTTCCGAGTGTGTGCAAACACGTGGTTAGCTCGATTGGGATCCGGTCCCGGGTCGGACAACAACCCGATTGTATAATTTCTGAAATAAGAAATGTCGTAGTCTACCGTTGAAGTAAATATTCTCCGCTACGCCAACCGCGCCGGGTAGTAATGGTACAAGTCGTACCCGAGTCGGGTACCCGACCGCGCCGGTAGTAATGGTCTGGACTACTTTTAGCCCCCCATTTGCTGACGCCGAGACCGGCACATCCGATAAAGTCAACGCCGTTGGCTCAACGCTGTATGGATGGACCGGTGGTGCTAATGACATTAGTTACATCTACATGGACGTTTGCATGTCGCCCTCCGATATTTCCAACGGGCAACCTCCCGACGCCAAACTCTTCAACAACAGTTCGGATAATGCACCGCGGCTTCGTGGCACGAGTCCTCGAAAACACATGGATTTGGATTTCATTCGACTGCGCGTGGTATCATTCAATATCCATTTCGGTTTCAATGATGTACATATATTCGATGCAATATTATTTTATTGCACGGATTAACATCATATTCGGGATAACGTATCGGAGAAGCATTGAACCCAAAACTTCCGGGGTTCGACAGAATTTTGCAACAATTGGCGTTGGGACCGTGAAATGGAGGGCGACCGCCGTTTCAGAAAAAAACGCGCAACAGTTTCAGAAAAAATGCCGTTTCAGAAAACGCAGCAAACGTTTCAGAAAAAACGTTAGCCGTTTCAGAAAAAGCGAAAACCGTTTCAGAAAAAATAATTGTCGTTTCAGAAATAAGGGTACCCGTTTCAGAAAAGAATGTGCAATTTCCGGGGCAGTGCCGTTGATGCATAACATTCAAATTTATACGCTGGTTAAAATACCCGGTGAACACTCAGAGGGGAACGTTCACGAATAATATTGGAATGAAGCGGGGCGGGTTGGCATTGCGAGTTCGCGGTCTTCCGCGCTACTACGCTTATATTTCCGGAGGAGGCCGGAACGGGAGTCGGAACCGGAGTTGGATGTGGAGGAAGACCGAACGGGAATCGGAGTCGGGGCCGGACGAAAACCCGGAGCCGGAGTCGGAGCCGGAGGAGGCCGGAACGGGAGTCGGAATCGGAGTCGGACCGAACGGGAATCGGAGTCGGAGCCGGACGAAAATCCAGAGCCGGAGTCGGAGCCGGAAGAGGCCGGAACGGGAGTCGGAATCGGAGTCGGAAGCAGAGGAAGACAGAATCGGAATCGGAGTCGGAACGGGACGAAAATCCGGAGCCAGAGTCGGAGCCGGAGGAAGCCGGAACGGGAGTCGGAATCGGAGTCGGAAGTGGAGGAGGACCAAACGGGAATCGGAGCCCGGAGCCGGATTCGAAGCCGGAGAAGGCCGGAACGGGAGTCGGAATCGGAGTTGGAAATGGAGGAGGACCAAATGGGAATCGGAGTCGGAGCCGGACGAAAATCCGGAGCCGGAATTGGAGCCGGAAGAGGCCGGAACGAGAGTCGGAATCGGAGTCGGAAGCGGAAGAAGACCGAATCGGAATCGGAGCCGGACGAAAATCCAGAGCCGGAGTTGGAGCCGGAGGAGGCGAATTCCTTCCGCGCCTCTCCCGAATCGAACCCTCCCGATCTCACTCACGCCCGCTCCACTCCCCCGTCGTCCTCCCGCCTCCTCTAGCCTCCTCCGCGCTCCTCCCGAAGCAAAGCACGGCCATGCAACAACGACCGTTTCAGAAAAAAACGGCGGGGGTGCGGATGCAAAAGTCCAGGGCCCGCGGTCCAAGGTCGGGCCGAGGCCCGGGGGCCCGAGCAACAAATCGGGGGTGGGGCATTTTTCTGAAACCGCGCGCACTTTTTCTGAAACCTCCCACGCTTTTTCTGAAATAACGCGCCCTTTTTCTGAAACTGCTCAGCCTTTTTCTGAAACGGCACGCCCTTTTTCTGAAACCGGCTTTTTTCTGAAACTGCTGTGCGTTTTTTCTGAAACGGTTGCTGCCGGTGAAATGGAAATTTGCAAATGAAGTACAAACGGTAATGCAATTATGTTGGACCCAACACTTCAATACCAGTTACCACACCAAGCAGGAAAACCATTACGAAGCAACCATGACCACCACTATCACTCGCGGGCTTGCGTCTTTGATTTTGGTTCCGGCCCTGGCGTCATGCCTCCCGCGCTCACCGCCTCCAAGGCCGACTCTAGCATCTCTCTCGATTCGCACTCCGCTCCTTCATCCAGGTTCGATCGCAAGTGCATCGACAAAACCGAGGTCTAGGCCGTTCTGCCTGAGACATTGCGTAGCACAGGGGCTCCAATCACAACCTCTCTCATTCCTTCTCCCGGCTCCCTCTTCCCACTTCCTGCCTGGCTCCTCTTCCCTCCTCCCTCCTCCCTCCTCCCGCTGCTGCGCCTCTGCCTCCGCCTCCCCGTCCCCGCCGTCGTCGCTTCTGCCGCCTCAACATCCGTCATGCGCGCACTGCCTTCCGCCCTCCCCAGACATCCGGCGTTACGATTTTTTCCCCAAACAGCTTGTTGAACGGGGTGCTATTGTGATAGAAGGTAACTCCGGCCGAGGGGAAGGGGAGCAGACACATCCTAACAATTATAGCCGGAGCGCAATATCCCCAAACAAGGTTTTTAGACCCACTTCGGTTTCCAAAGTCGATTGCGTGCCCGTCCAGTGCGGGCTGGCATGGCATATTAAACATGCCTCCTCCTCTTCCTCCTCCTCCTCCTCTTCATCCCGAACGGCATCTCGGA